GCAGGGGGCTTTGTGCACTTCTGCCTCTGTCCACGGTTGTGTAATCTATTGCATAGCAGCAGGATGTGCGTTGTCACGCAACCTGAGGTCTTGATACAGCACCTGTCCGAAATGGGCAGGTTGGCCAGGCGCGGTTTGGTGGTCATCTCCTGTGCGACACGCAAGGCGTCGTGCACATGAGTGACAATGCGCAGGTCCGAGTCAATCGTTGAATTTTCGGCACAATGGAGCCGCGCTGCTAAAGACCCCACCTTCGAGGGCGAAATAGCAGAGGATGGCAGGCAACTGAAGCTCTTCGATTGTCTCTTGGCCGTTTAATAACAGCATGCACAGCATGATGCAGGGAAGGCAAGTCAAATCCACGGAATGCATTTTTCTTCCCAGGTCGCTGGTGGTGCATGAGGCTGGCGTTCGCGGACAAAACTCATTTCCCAGAAAGCGACGTCAACGACATCGTCAGCGCGAACCTTCGAGCTCTCTTGGTGCACTGCCGTGACGGGGATGTTTCTGTGAGGAAACATGCGCACCATCTTCTTGGCAACTATGGGTTTGGTGGCCTGCCTTTTGTGAAGCAGATGATCGCCGAAGCCATGCTTGACCAGATGGAAGACCTGTTGCCAGAGTCTGCCGAAATCAGCAAAGAGGCCTTGAAGCAGGCAATGCAGTGTGCAGAGCATCTTACCCGCGTTCTGCGCGCACTGACGAAGCCTCAGCGTCAGAAGTGGGTGTCCCTGCTGGTCAGAGCCCTCCAAAGTGAGGAGTCATTTCAGGCCCAATTCCAGGAGACCCTGTTTTCTGACCTGAAGCTCCTGTGGCGAGTTGACGACGATCCCAGGCGAACCTATGCGGAAGCAGAGCAGCAACTGAAGGCTTTCTCAAAGCATGCCAACAGAGAATTGCGGGGAGAGATTTGGAGGCTCCACAACTGTTGAAGCCTGTCTCACACAGTCAAATGCTCAACGACAACTTCAGCCAAAAAGTGTATGGGCATGAAGTCTCGGTGCCTAACGACGCTTTGGTTTGAAGCAGTGGCACAGCCAAACAAAGCCCTTCTGCTCAGGAAGACCGCTGCAGCCTTAGGTGCCTGCGCTCCAGGTTCCATTTTTTGGCAGCTATGTCTGCCGCTCCAAGGTTATGCCGCGACAGGGCAAGCTTGCTAATAAAGAAGTGTCCATCTCAGACATGAAGCCTTTGCAAAGCAGCCGCACAGTCAGCATGTAGTGGCGGCACCGCAATTCGAGGCTCAAGCTTTGGAGGAGGACTGGGAGCCGGTGTGAGTTGCGCGGCAGATAGAACTTGCACCATCTTGTACCAAAAGACCGGACTGACTCTAGGCAAGCGAAAAAGCTCAGCATGAGGCGTTTGCAAACAATGTGAGATGCCCTACATGAAAGAAACAAGCGGCGAGTTTCCTTGTCGTGGCGAGGGGCCACATGCGTCCGTTCTTTGCCCGTGATTTTGATTTTAGCCGCTGTTTCGTGTATCAGTCCTTCTGTGCGCTTTACCAGGTCACTCGTGGGGCACCTCCACAGTGCGAGTGTTTGCCGCAACGGGAACCGGCTGACGGAAACAGAGCCGTGTAACAGAAACAGGCTCCGACATCCACAACCCAACCAACTCCAACAGGGCTGGGCCAGCTCCGGGCAACCTGAAGCTTAGCTTGGCTTAGCTCAAGGACACGCTTTCCCGTCCTCTACTTAGCAGGATTCAGACCTACGATGTCAGGACATTGCAGCCCCTGCTGTCAGGGCAAAAAATCACAGCTCACCGAGAAGTGTTGTCGGATCCTATCACCTGCAGGCAAGATTCATGTGGTCCCACCTCTCTCCGTTGCTCTGCCGATGTTTCGTAAAGCAGATGAGGTCATCTTAACTCCCTATACTTAACTATCGACTTATTATCTGCAACCATGTGGATTGCGCCGCAGTCCAGGGAGACGGAGACAGGGCAGAAGGGGACCGGATCTTGCCCATAGTGTACATAGACATATTGATGTAGGTATAGACCCGTTACATGCATGCATGCATGCATGCAAACAAACGTGCACAAATCCATACCGACATACCTACATCCCTACATACTTGGATATCTACATACTTACATAGCTACATGCACGCCTACACACTTACATGCTTACATGCGTACATGCATATCTATTTAAATATACTAGGTTAGAGATACACAAAAGATGTGTGTATATGTATAGGCATATGTTCAGATTCGTTGTATTCTACTGCTCTACTTGTCTGTTCATTGCCTGATTACTTTTCTTTTCCATCAACGCACACCGCCTCCCACCTCGTGCGCCTGTCGCAGCGAGGAGCAGGAGGATGAGAAGCCCAAGGTTCCTCAGCCCAACAAGGCAAGATGGGGGGAGCTGGGAAAACATGCGAAACATCCTGGTCTTGGGCAGTTTGCGAGCCCTTGATGAGTTCAGAAAGGGCGATTTCTCGAAGTGTCTTACTTGTTAGAGCCAAAGGTAGGGAAGCAGTTGAGAATTTGAGGGAGTCCTAATATGGACCCCGAACAGCAAGGAGCCTTTTCAAAAGGTACCCGTAACCTAATAAATGTTCTTATGTTTCCCCCGCGATGACATGTCCCAATGTCCAACGAGTTCAAACTCTGCCTTGCTGCGTTCTTTATCAGGAAGGGTCTGACGAGAAGATCAATGAGGCAATCCAGAAGATGCGGCAGGAGAGTCAAAGATTGACATCATGTGTGCCGCGGATGGGGTTGATTGGGAGACTAAGTGCTGAAATTTGAAAAGTTATGAGTCATGAGTGATGGGTCATGGGGCTTTCAGCTGAGCCTTTTGCTCAATTCTCACTTGGCAGTCCATCCATGCTGGATGCACTAGGAGCGATCCGGTGATGCCAAGCAGGCCGGCTTGGCGCTCCAATCGTCATTTGCACTCCTTGAGCTGTAGCTGGTGCCAGGGTGACGACTGAGGCCACACTACTCGATCTGTATCCTCATTCTCGCTCTGGCCAGGCCGAACTCAGAGCCCAGCTGGATGTGATCACTGACAAGATCAACGGCCTGACGGAGAAGAAGGCTCCCTTCCCATCAAAGGGCTGTAGCTGAAGCCCCAAGCTTTAGGGAAGGCCGGGCACCTGCAGGTTCCGATTGTGGGGGCGATTTTCCGGGTTTTATAAGCAGTACATATATGGGCTTAGGGTTTACAGGGTTTAGGACATACTCTCCATGACCCAAAAAGATGTATGCAGATGTGAATTCGCGCAGGGGGGAGGCAGCCCACACGCCGAGCCAAAAGCTCTTGCAATCTTCTAGTAGTCTTGGGCTTGCGACCCACGAACTGCATGATGGGGCTTAGAGATTTTAGGATTTGGACATTTGTTGATTGTTGGCGATAAGCTTGCACGAGTTCAGCCGTCACCTGTGGACAAAAATCAGCTAGTTCTCCCCATGCCTCTGAACGATTGTGCCTAACACACCGGGGGTTTT